TAATAATAAAGTGCAAAAAATAAAAATAAAAACTGCACTGAATTAACCAAACTAAAAAATGAACTACTTTCAGCAATTTAAAAGAAAACGTCATAATCAGAAAATAAAACTTGACACATGGTCACTTTCTGACATAAAGGACAAAGCGAAAAGATTTCATTTGTATCCAGTATTCTGCTGCACATAACGAGTTGACACAAATGCCTCCAGAGAGAAAATGACATTCCAGGCGGACGCTGTGACAGATCACGTATGCTGACTGATGGCGGTAAGTGGTAACAGATGTGAATACTGAGAGAAAATGACTGGAACATTTCATTTTTAGATGCAGCCCAGTCACTAGACGGGGAGCTAAGATTTCATACATTTGTGTGTGGGCATGTGAGTGTGAAAAGGAAAACTTCTTTGTCCTGTGTGAAAATGAAAGTTTGTTGACAAGAGATTTGACATGAGTCCTCCCTGTTTGTATTTCGTAACAAGTACGACCACAAGTTGTGACAGCTGAACATCAGTGAAAATGATGTAGATTAAAATGGTAGAAAAAATTCCGAATTGATGGTAAAAGCTGACTGGGATGTTTGTTTTTTTTTAGATAAATTGAGAAATGAAAGATTTCTGCATGAATCACTGTTCCTTTTTTAAATTAAGGGTCTGGCATTCCTTGACAGAATGAATATGGCTTCCACCATTTGTGGCATGGTTTTGTACATCCACTTACTTTCTGAAAGTTTTTCATTAAGACTTGTYTGGATATTTCTCTAACAGTCAATGCCAAAGTTTGAAGCAAAGATGTTGTAAAATTCAATTCAATTCTGTTTATTTATATAGCGCCAAGTCACAACATACCAAGGTTATATTAGTTTTGGATTTTTTTATTATAGTTTAGTTTTATTTAGTTGTGACTTTTTTCTTTTAATTCAGTTAGTTTTAATTACTTTTTACAGTGGCTTTGATAGTTTTATTAGTTAGTATTGTATTTTTAATATTTCTCTAAAGTTTAAAGGCACAGTGTGTAGGAAAGATGTTGTAAAATTCAATTCAATTCTGTTTATTTATATAGCGCCAAGTCACAACATACCAAGGTTATATTAGTTTTGGATTTTTTTATTATANTTTATAGCCCGCTTTGTGTTTTGTAGTTGGACGTGGTGGCAGTGCTCTAGCCATTTTGGTGCCCTGGGTGAGTTGAAGCGCAACCTCATTTGCATTACTTGCTTTCCCAGAAAGCAAATAAATAACAACATACATGTCAACTTGTACGGATTGTCCGTAAGTTATAAGGATTTTACGTCATTTTGCAGGTACTGTATATGTATAGGGCAATCTCACAGAATTTTTTTAAGTCTTACGTATTTTTTCAAAACCTCATTTTCAAAATTCTCTAACAAGAGCCGGCTCTGCATGGTGGCCACCTTCAATCGGATTAATTTCAAAAGTTGTAGATGTACAGTCAAATTTACTTTGGGAGTTTTAATAAAATCCATCTAGTGGTTCAGAAAATACACTATTTGCTCACCTGCCTTGACTCACATATGAGCTTAAGTGACATCCCATTCCTAATCCATAGGGCTCAATATGACGTTGGTCCACCTTTTGCAGCTAGAACAGCTTCAACTCTTCTGGGAAGGTTGTCCACAAGGTCTAGGAGTGTGTTTATGTGAATTTTTGACCATTCTTCCAGGTCACATACTGTTGGACAAGAAGACCTGGCTCTAAGTCTCCACTCTAAAACCCTATCTCCACCGGTGCACTTGGACACAGTTGGGCTTGGCTCGGCCGAATGCACACTAGGTTCCAAGCGCGCTCAACTGCACACAGCCATGCTGTTTCAGAACCTCCTCTCTGGTGGTCCTAAGCAGGTAGAAGCGAGGACAGCATGCTACGATTTTGACATCAGCAGAATGCTGCCTGTGGATTAGCTCTGGGATTGATTGAGAGAGAAGAGGCATGCTAACTTCCTCCTGGAGAGAGATGCTTTTGTTTTGGAATACGAGTGCACAAAACAGTACAATGACATGGTGAAAGCAGTGATAAAACCATCTCATCAAGAAGGCCAGCTCTGTGCTGGGATGCCCCCTCGACCCAGTGCAAGGTGGTGGGAGACAGAAGGACTCTGGCAAAAATCACATTGATGATAAAGAATGTCTCCCACCCCATACTCTGGCTGAACTGCAGAGCTCCTTCAGTGACAGACTGCTGCATCCTAAATGCACAAAAGAAGGTTACTGCAGATCAATGGGCCTCATGCAAGAACCGTTCGTACACACCGATTTGTTCTTAAGTTGTGCGTACGAGTGATTTAGGAGAATTTGTGGCATTCACCAATGTTTTCGTATTC